GGATGGACACTTACCTTGCCCAGATTTTCAAGGAGAAAAAAAATCAGGCTGGGAGTGAAACTGCTCAATCTCAACTTGTTCTATTCAAACTTCGAGTCCTTTCATTGCTGGAGATTTATCTGCATGAAAATCCAGGCAAGTACAACTTATTTTTATGACGATTTGCTAGACTTTTAAAATTCATCCACATTTTGACCCTATGGCTTTAGGACTGAAAGTAGATCAATACGGAGAGGAATTTTCTGTTTTGATGTTTTTCATGTTGGGCTCTGGAAACTGGAGTTCTTTTATTTTCTTCCATTTCTAATGCATTCTGATATCTATTATGATACAGGCAAGCCTCAAGTTCTTACAGTATACTCAAACTTAGCTCAGGCATTCATCAATCCACAAACTGCAGAAGGTAGCGAGCAGCTTGGGCAGCGTATATATGGAATTCTTCAAAAGAAAATATTAAAAGCGAAGGATATCCCAAAGGGTGAGGCTGTGCAACTGTCTATTCTCAACTCTTTGTTGGAAAAGAATTTGAAGTTGGCATCAAAACCATTCAAGAGAAAGAAATCAGCTGGTAACCCATCAAAAAAGCAGTTAGCTTCTTGGAATCGACATAAAATGATTTCTTCCCTTGCACAGAATTCTACCTTCTGGATATTGAAGATCATTGATACGAGAAGTTTCCCAGAGTCTGAACTGCAGAAAGTCCTTGATATTTTCCAGACAGTCATGGTAGGGTATTTTGATAACAAAAAGTCTCAAATAAAATCAGAGTTTTTGAAGGAGATATTCCGGAGACGGCTGTGGATTGGGCATCATCTCTTAGGATTCCTTTTGGAGAGATGTGGGAGTGCAAAATCAGAATTCCGGCGAGTTGAAGCTCTTGACTTGGTGACTGAGATATTGAAGTCATTGGTTCCTCTGAACTCTGGTGAAAGCAGCAGCCAGGATGCGGCAAAAAAAGTGTTGAAGCACCATAAGCAAAAACTGTGTCATCTGATAAAGGAGTTGGTGAGCAATATGCCTGAAAAGCAAGCAAGGCGAGCTGAAGTGCGAAAGTTCTGTAGTAGAATCTTCCAGCTAATATCATCCCATAAGCTTTCAAAATCTTTTCTCAAGGATTTGGATCCAGATGCTCAAGCTGCTTGTGAGTCTAAACTTGGTGACATCTTCACTAACCTCAAGACTGCAGAACACAAGCGGTAAGAACAGGCAGCGCTCGATATATATATATATATATATATACATGGTGAAAAGATTTGGCTTTTGGGATAAAAAAGTCAAATCTGTTCCAAATCTAAAATTCACATTCTGGGGCCATGCCGTTCACAAGTCTAAATATCAATGTCTTGGCAATTTACAGCTGTTTAAAGACTTTTTTTTGGGGTGGAATTATGTCTGAGAAACTGCAGTGGTCTCAACAATTTTGTCTGTTGAATTTGTTATTAATATGCAAAGAACGAAATTATACATTTTGTGCTTTTACTTTTTGACTGGTTGCCATGATGGAATCAGGAACCACCAAGTTCCCATATTTGTTTTTAGAGCAAAGATTGCATAGGCATGATCCAAGCAAATTTAACATATGAAAAAAAAGACCAGCACAGTTTTTGAATATTTTACTTAATGAATTTTGATTTCGCATGTCATGCTTTCTCTGTAAGGCGGCTGGTGGAGAAGTCATGTCCCACAACATACTCTTTGGCAAATGGCATCCAAAGCTAGCCTCTCACATGCTTTAACAGCAGAGGAGATCCCCCGCTTCACTTTTCATTGTTGGGTTCACAAACATTTATTTAATGATCCTTGTCTTCTACATCCATCTTTTCCCGCTTATATATATTATATAGAATATGCACTTTCATCTTCTGCCTCTTTCATCTGAAGGAAAGAATGATTTAACCTAACAAAGAACCCGTTGCCAAGGGAGAGGCAATGCTGGATGGCAGAAAATCAGGTATATATTGTTAAATGTGTACAACGCATTTCAAACCTCTCTCTTCTACCTTCTCTAACAATTTCTCGTTACACTTCTCTACATCCCTAACCTACTTTTCCTCCCTTGATCCCCCCCTTTTTTTCTTTGTACATAATAAGGTGAAACCTCCAGTCAGTCTCCAGCTACAATGCCTATTCACTCCCAACAAAAATTAAACCACCACAACCCCACAAAACACTTCAGAGATAACTCACCCTTGTCACAATGAACACTTCACTGATTCACCACCAGACAGAATTTAACCAGTCTGCTATCAGTGGCTGAAACAAATGTGGCCAATGTCCAGCCACCCTCCCAGCGTCAACAACACTTGCAGCGCACTTTCTCCTACTCACTACACCATTTGCAGGTACTACGACCGTGCATCATCAGCATCAGAATCACTTCCTGAGGAACTCCCCGAATCTGAATCTGCAAGAATCTCACACAATCAAAATTCCAGCTAAATTGCTGACAAATTTAATGCACACACTTATAACATTTAGACTCTGAATGTCAGATTTGGGCTATACCACTAGACGAGGATGAATCACTACTGGAACTACTTGAGCTGCTGGAACTGCTACTGGCACGACCATCATCTTTCTCAATCTCCACCGGCGGGAAACTGCTAACTGGCATTCGTCCCCA